TTTTTGTGGTTTTTTGAGACAGGGTCTCACTATGTAGTTGAGACTGACCTAGAACTCACTATGTAGCCCAGGCTGGTCTCAAACTCACAGTGATCCTCCTGCCTCAGCCTCTGGAGTGCTGGGATGACAGGCGTGTGCCACCACGTCCAGCCATTTCGACGTTTTATGTCTCTTCTGAAATCTCCATTTCCTCACATGTTACTTTCAGCCAGGTCGGTCACCTTCTCATCCATCCCTGGGACAAAAATACCTGACATGGACAACTTAAAGGAGGAAGTGCTTCTTCTCTCCTCACAGTTTCCGAGGTTCCAGTCCACGGTCAGCTGGCCCTGCGGCTTCTAGGCCTGTGGTGAGGATAAAACGTCATGGCGAAGGGGCTTGGAGGAGGAAAGCCACTCACCTCACAATGGCCAGGAAACGGAGAGACAAGGAAGGAGTCAGAGAGTAAGGGGCCAGGGTCAAGATGTAGCCCCCGAGGTCATGTCCCTGTGACCCACGAGACACTTGGAAGTGAGCTTTACGAGTGTTCAGGGTCGTGATTTGTCACACACCATCTTATTTTCCACATTAGCTACATATTTATCCTACTTCCCGCAGTCCTCACCAGTGAATCCCAACATCCAACATCCTCGTGTGCCTTCTGACCATTGCTTCTTGGTCATGGGTCCTGTTTTTCTTTTTGCGTGTCTAGTGAATCTTGATTCTGTGCGTGGCTTCGTGCATACCCTGTCGGCCCGTCTGTGTGCACTGTTCTCCCCCACCAAGAGCCGAGCTTCGAGTCAGCACACGGGTGTGCAGCGGGCAAATCACTCTGGACCCTGTGGGTATGCAGGCTTGGGCTTTGTGAGAGGGCCTCTGTTGTGTCCCTAACCCTGCCATCTAAGCTTCAGCCTTGGGACGTTTCCTTTAAGGGTTGGGCCCCTGACTTTCTATGCAAAGCCTGAGGTGTTTGCCAAATCATCCAGAGCAGGGAAACCTGAACTCAAACTGTCCCCCCATGTGGGAAGCTGCCAATGTCTACACTCAGCCCTGTCAGAGTCCAGCTGTTCTCAACTGTGCAGTCACTGGGGTCTCATCCCGTGGAGCTAAGATGAACCAGGCAGGGACGCTGAAGGCTTTGGAAGCAGGGTTTGGGGCACCCCTCTTTTATGCAGGATTTCCTCCCCCAAGCTCCAGCTGCTCTGACAGCCTTGGTGTCTGAGCCCCAGTCCTCAGCCTGGTTAGACAGCTGCTGCTCACCTGAGCAGCGTCCCCTTCACACACAGACAGCAGAGGGCTCCTGGAGAAAGTACAGTGGCCGTCGGCTCGCTCCGCTGCAGCCCACCAATGTCCTGTTCTTTCTACTCCCACACTCCCGCGTGGCCTTTGTGTCACTGTGTCTCCATAGATCTCTGGATTATTTGTTTCAAAAGCAGGTTAATCTGCTGTCACCGTCTTCAAAGACATTGGTGGCCTGAAGGGCTGGGACACATAAACTCGGTGCCACAAAGCCTCTCTGGAGAGGTGACGTTTGAGCTGAGAACTGAAAGACAGGACCTGAAAGACATGGGCAATAGTTGGGGTAGAGTCTTAAGGAAGAGGAAAAGAACTTGGAAGATTTCGGAAGGGGTGAGGCACTGGGTGACAGAGGAGAGGGGTGGCGGACAGGAGGCTCAGGAGGACCTGACCCCCATGTCCTAGCCTCCATCCCTGTCACCGTTGGGTGCCGAAGGCATCTGTGTTCCCATGCTTACCTTCCCTGCCAACATGCTAGGCCCAATCAAAGCCTTGTCCTGATCCCTCATCCTCTTTCCCTCACAGCCGCTGCCTGGTGTCTGAACTTTGCTCAGGCACAGAGGCTAAGCCTCAGAAGGCCAACAGCCACCACCATGCTCCAGATCTGTCAACTTCTGCATCACCCTTCACACACACCCCCCCAAACCTTGCCGCATGCACAGGTCCACTTGGGTCCAACCTCCAGGGGTCCTGGAAGTGCTGTGTCGACTGTGAGCCCCCTACCCTCATCCAGCTGCAAACTGCTGGTTAAGTCTCGCGGTTCTTCCTTCTGCCGCGTGCCAGGCACATCCCCAGAGGACAGCACGATGCCAGCTGGTGGAGCAGACTCCGCGTAGCCCCGTATCCAGCTCCGCCCCCATCCACCGGGGCTCCGGAGGAGAGAACGCACGTCCTCTTCCCTGGTGGATGTTAAGGTGTTGGAATCTGCTCTCCATGCCAACTCATCCTTCCCACATCCTGGCCTTCTATACAAAATGCTGCCCTAAACAAAGGCCGCTGTGCTAGCTTTCTGTTGCTGTGACAAAATATCTGAAAAAAATCAACCTAAAAGGAAGAGAGGCCTATTTGGGTTCACGGTGTCCATGGTCCCTTGTCCTGATTGCCTCAGGTGGCCGAGGACATGGACATTATGGTGGAGGGTATTTGGATGAAGGGCTGGTCAGTCACCTCACGGTTAGTAAGAAGGGACAGGGAGAGTCTGAGGTTCCAGTGTCCCCTCCAGGGCACAGCCTGAAAGACCAAACTTCCTCCCACCAAGGCCACCTCCGGTCTGCGCACCAAGCCTTCCACAGCAGAGTCTTTGGGAGACATTTACCATCCAAACCCTAGCATTTCCCCCTGACCGCAAAGGTTCATATCTGTATCACGATGCTAAACACACTCTGTCTGTCCCCAAGAGCCCCCAACATCCCAACAGCATGGCTGACAAGTCCGGGTCCAAAGTCTCCTGTGAGACTCAAGGCAGACTTAGCTCTGAGCCCTGTGAAATCCAAGGTCCGAGTTGCCTGCTGCTGAGATACAGCGGCACAGAGCAGGGTGTCCCACAGCTTCTTCTCCCACTGGGTCAGAACCCTGCTGCCCTGAGGAACAGACACCGCTCCATCCAGGAGATAATTCACGTTAATGAAATTCCAGGCTTACGGGAGGAGCAAACATCTTCCCTGAGGGTTATTACTGTGGAGGGAGCAACGTGTTCTGACATCTTTGTAAAATCCAACCGTTAATTAAGAAGCATTGCACTTACATATTGCATGACTTCTTTTATATGAGAAAAACAAAATATAAATAAATGTTTAAAAACAAAATAAAAGATAGATAATAGAAAACAGGGAAATAGATTGTTTGCAAATGGGAAAGGGGATCTAGAGACAGAAGGAGGGGAGGGGAAGGAGAAGAAGAGAAATACGGTGTGCTGTGCACACGGACCTAGACCCGAAGCCACCTTAAGGCATAATGTAACCATTATGCACCGCAAAAGTGGTGCCTCAGTTCACAAACTTAATTTTTTCCATGATTCTGGTTGCAAACTGAATTGGACAAAAATCAAATCAAATTTCCCCATAAACCCAACATTGAACCTAACCACTGAATCTGATTCAATTTGATTCTCGTCCAATTCAGTTGGGGACCAGAATTGTGGAAGGAATTAAGTTCATGAACTGAGGTACCACTGTACTAATTTTTTTAAAAAAATTTTTTAAAGGTATTATACTTTGAGTATGACTAGGCGGGGTTCAGAGCAAAAACCTGGAAACCTACCAAATCCTGTCTTCTCCAAACAGCAGCAACTCTGTGTGGGAACTTGAAGAAATATCGATTCCAGGGGTTACCCCAGGCCTACTGACTCAGGGCTTCAGGGCGGTGGGAGGGGCGGGGAAGGGTGCCCCGGGATCTGCTTAACAGCCCTCAGGAGGTGGCTCTGAGCAGGCCCTTCCTGGCCCTGCACCTGTGACTCCCTGGCTCCCCAGGAAGTGAGGTGGGGTAGCCCTCCTCACTGTCCCCAAGGCCCCATGCAACTCTGAGACACACCTTCCACGCTACCCATGGGCCAGGACAGCCGAGCTGGAGTAACCTAACCACTTGTTTAGGTTGCTGCCTGGCCCTTGTCTCCCGGGAATATGCCCGGCAGGCTGATCATGGCTTACACACCCCGGAACAGCCTTCACGCTGTGCCAGGCCCTGCTCGTAGCAATTTCCATGCCTGTCACGAAGGGCAGGTGGGCAAGGAGCTGAGTCAGAGCCGTGGGCTCGTGAGGCTGCCTGGCCCTGGGAAGTGGGCGGTGGGACACGTGTGCTGCCCACACAGAGCTGAAGTGGGGCACGTGGGAGCCAGCGTGGCACCTGCTATGCCCCGGCTGGGCGGCTCGCCAGGTACACCAGCCAGCTGTCTGTGACTGCTCTAAGCCGGGAAGGCCCGGGAGAGAGGAATTAGCTTGGAAGGGCAGCTTATGCTGAGCCATGGGGGACGGGCAGGAGGATGGGGCCCGCTCCGAGACTCCTGCTGGTGTTCGTCATGGGCAGGGGTCCTGGACGGCTTGCAGCCTCAGCTCCAGCTAGGAGAAATGGGCCCCTTCTCCCCAGCCATGGGTGAGCTCCTCCCCGCACCTTCCTCTCTGGGCTCCAAGATCAGCGCCAGGGTCCAGCTTCGTAGGACAAAGGGCTCCTACAGAGGAGCGCTCCAGATGACCCTTCGGCAGACAGATGGCAGACAGACAGACAGACTTCACACAACTATACTAGAAAGGCATGCAAATGGATGGCCAGCACATCTCAGGATCCCACCTCTTGCTGAAGACCCCCCAAGAAAGCAGCTCCCCTCCAGCCCCGCAGCCGACTCCAGCAGGGCTGTCTCTCAGCCAGGACCCTAGCCAGGGCAGTCCTCTGGGTCTTGGCCCTAAGTCCAGTCCGCTGAGATGTCCCTGAGGTCACTGTAGGCAGGACGTCCTTCTCCTCCTCCAGGTGCCCTGGGCACTGAGATGGCTCCCTGAGTGGCATCGGAGGTACAAGGCACTGCACCCTGAAGTCTCGTGGCCGGCACACAGTGAGTGACCCAGTATGACATTTCTGGGGACACAGGGCTGTCGAATGGCACACTGAGGCCCCAGGACAAAGCACTTCCCAGGCAGGGACATTGCTCCTACACCTGCCCGGGCTTCCTCTGTGATGGATGAGGGGGCCGGGTGGCAACCTCTGGCTTCTCACCTGCACCCCGTGCATACAGGGCTCTGGAACATACCCAGGTCCCTCAGTAGGTGAGCGTCGTACCCGACTCTGCACACACACCTCACAACCAGGTGGCAGGCTGGCCGGCTGCTCCTCGCCTGCCCTGCTGGACAGTGAGTGGCCCTGTCCTGGAACGCGGGCTGGACACTGTAACCCACAGAACACAGCAAAGGGATCAGGATGCCACTTCTGTGGTGAGATCAGGGGACTATGCTTCATCCGTGCCAGTGATGAGGTAGGGCTGCTGGAGAGGCCAAGTGATAAGGGGCGGAGGGCGGTCTCCAGTCCCCAGAGCTGAGGACCTGAAAACTGACACCGCCACATCAGTAAGCTTGGAAGCAGTGCTCTCTGGGTGAGACCACAACCTGACCATACCTTAACTGCAGCAGAGCAAGGGGCAGCCCAGATGTTTCCAGATTACTGGCTCCCAGATGCTGGGAGATGACACACATGTGCTGTCTTGAGCCCCCAGGTTCTAGATAAATAATGAAGACACTGAGGTGAGGGACGCCTGCTTTTGGGAAGTCTTTTAAGCAGTTCTGATCCGTAAGGAGTTCTCAGCCTTGTGGCTTCTAGTTCAGAAAGAGCTGAGGAAGTCCCAAAGGGTTGTGAGATCCTTGAGCTGTTGAACATGTCAGTTCTTAACATATGCCAGGGGACCACATTTCTCCCAAACCGACCTGATTTCCATTTGTCAGTACA